GGGGGTGGAGCTTAGATTCAAGCAGTATGCAGTACCTCATTGTCAACCCATTTGTCCTTCAGATCCATCAGACGGTGGTAAGAACGGATCACTTCATCAAAGTACCCACAGTCGGTGGCAATCTGATGAAAATTACACATACCAAATACACCATAAGAAAGCAATACTGAAAGAACAGCTTTTAAAAATCCAAAATTTATACTTTGATCATGCATTGTGAAGTAAATGAAAACAACTGATGAAAATGGGATTCACCTCAGGCGTTTATCCTTGAAAGTTCAGTTGAAATTGTTAAAGATAGCAACCCATTGTCAAGAAGAAAAGTGGTTGTCTTAGGCAGGTGGACGTCTTGAATAGTGTCATTATAATATAAGAAAAAAACATAAGGGAGAAAATAGTATGTGATCATTTGTACAGAAGATTATTGCGGACAGATGACGGACAGTAGGGGCAGGTTCAACTGTATATATGCATTTGCATTGAATATGTACAAGTATATACCAGGGGGTGAGATGCAAAACTCGCTAAGCGATATTTTGGAAAAAATCGTGAATTTTTGCTTATAAATGCAGATTGTTACTGGCTACCAGATGTACAAAGTGTTTTCGGCCAAAACCCAACACATACTTCATAAAAGCCACCAAAAATCTTCTTTTTTTTACGCATGTTCGTTCGTATAGCAGCATTTTAAAAAAGTGCTAAAATGGATGGAGCAGGTTTTGCACCTCAGCCCCTCATATGGTTCCTGCTGTTTGGATGCAGATTTTGGTGAGAGGGCATGATAACGGTCACATTGCTCCAGGTACAGATACATATATACGTATAAGCAAAATATGCTCTGTCACATTTTTAAGTATACAAATTTTAAAGCTCAATAAAAAAAAAATTCATGCTACCAATTACATTCAGATTTTCACACTGAGTACGTGAAATACCCGTCACTGGTGAGTAGTTTTCAGATTTCTGAACGTGCAAGTGGTTTTGTTACTGCATGTGTGTTACATGTTTTGTGTTTTTTTAAAATAACTCATGGCACGGAAATTATTTCTTTAAAAAAGAAGTACACATCAAAGCTTTGTCATTTTTGCAACATTTCGCCAGTGATAAAACTTGTGTTGTCTAAGTCTAAGTTTCATGATGCCACGCCTAAGAGAAAATGTGCGAAATCAGCTTGTTGGAATGATCTGTAGAGGTGTCTCCTTCTCCACTGCTGCAAGACATTTTAATCTAACAAGAAGACCTATGTACGCAACAATGTATCGTGAGAGATCAACTGAATCACCTAAGGAATGACCCTGTCGACTTGAGAGAAGAAAAACTACTCCAAGATAGGATCTTTTTATACAGTAGGCCTACCCCTGTCGCATCTACGGAATCGTTTCAAAACGGCAAGACAAACCTGAGATGAGCTGAAAAACATGCGACAACACAAGCCTCAGACACTTCCTCAACTTGAGATAGCATTGCAGTGCAGCAAAAGATTGATTCCATGCGGTGACGATATCAGGCCGTCATCAATAAAAGCGGACATCATACGCGATACTGATCGTGTTACTTTTGTAGACCACCCCCACACTTTCGTTATTCGGGAATAAACATGTTAGGTTAACTTTCAGTATTGTTATTTAAAAATTTTTTTTAATTGATTGAATTAGTATTCCTGAAATTTTTAAGAATATCGGCTCATGGTGAAACTAGCTATTTTTTCATTTTAACACAGTGTATACTTAAAAATGTGACAGTATAGTAGCACAGACAAAAAGTAGCAAATCTACCAACCTAAATAAACTAAAATGTGAGGAAATCAGAGCGGACTTTGCAGGAAAGTTTGAATATTACTGATCCATTTCTTTGAACATGAGTTAGAAATAGAAACAAGAGAAAGAGGTGAACAGAGAAAGAGAGAGTATGACAAAGAAAGACTGACTAACTTACAATAAGGTTATTTTCCCACAGCCTCCAGTTGTCATAGGTGCACTTCAGTGCATCCTGGAGGGTAGCATAAGCTTTTTGCCTGCAACAGATAAGGAGAAATTCATTGACATCTTAAGAACAGCAAATTGTTCTTGTGAAACTTTCGTACAGTAAAATCTATAAAAATTCTAAAAGAGACCATTCTTTTCTAAACACAAGTGGAACACTGAACATTTCTCAATGAATTACAAACACTTTCTTTATTTATCTTCTATACATCTTTAAAAACAGGACTCATATTCATACTTGCTTTCTTTTCAGAATAATACATGGTGTACCAAGCTATTTAATTCTTTTGGGAGTCCCACAGTATATATAGGCCTATATAGCCCCATGCAATAAATGTGCGTGATATGGTTTTTGACAAACAACTTTTGCATAAATATATCGCAATGGTACGGTTGGCTCAATACTTAAAATGCATATACAGTCGAACCTGTGTAAGATGGAATCGCAAGGGAGGCAGAAAAAAATTCCGTCTTAGACAGGGGAATTTAGTGGGGGGGGGGGTTCAAAAGCCCAGCCGGTGGGATCAAGGATCGCTTCTCCGATTGGCAAGCAGTGGTCAAAACTTCACACCTCTCAACTGCTATCCTGTCTGGTAATGACATGCGTCAGTCTTACTTATCCAATTACCACCAGTGCTTGCTTTTCATTGGACCACTGTTTAACCTATTAAAAACAGAAACGTTTGAACATCTCCTTTGCTTCCACCCTTAGCCCCACCCATCGGTGTAACAAGCACAGTCAACCAATGCCACCCCTCACTGCCATCATGTAACAACGATTCGAGGAACTCTTTTCTCGGCTGGCCGTACGATCAGGGCGGCAGCTAGGCTTTCTCAGTTCTGAGAAAGCCTAGGGCGGCAGGCATTGGTCAAACTTATTTCACACCTCTGGCTTCTGGCTACTCAGGAAAGTTTCCGTAGTGGCTCGCTACTCTAGCACTCTCACGGGCAATCGTGAAATTTCACACCCATACCATCTACCCTGACCATCTGCATCGCTCAGGGCTCACATGATGGGGTAACATCTACCCCCAAATTGCACCCCTACTCTCCTTCCTCGCCCAGCGGCATGGCCATGGCGTTAAGTTTAGAGTCGTCGGAACCAAACTTGCGAGTTCTGTTTCAAATCAGGGCTGAGCGGACAAAGCATTTTCCGTCTTAGACAGGTGAAACCATCGGAAGGGAGCGGATTTTTCTTTCCGTTTCCGCGTTGGACAGGTTTCCGTTATATACAGGTAATTAAAGAGGAATACATCAAGGGGGGAGCGGGGAGATTCCGTTAAGACAAGTTTCCGTTTTATACAGGTTTCCATTAAGGCAGGTTCGACTGTATAAGTTAAGCAATTTCAAAGTCCAACGATCCCTTGTCAAGAAGCAGAAAACAATATTCCTAGAAGAGATGGAGAGATATATGTTTGGTGAATAGGGACAGCCGAATATACCACAAAAGCTGACTTACTTTTCATGAAGCCTGACATAGCAAGTGGACAGATTGCTCCATGCCTCAAAGTTCTGGAGAAGTAAATGCATAAATACAAAGAATTAGAGTAAGAGTAAGAGTGGAAAAAGTGGTATGATTTTATATTGTTGATGTCCAACTCTAATTGTGTATGTATGTGAACACGGATTTTCACAGAAGAACTACATACCTATAATTTCTATTTATTTCTACAACAATTGCTAAAAATATCATGTAGTGTTCTTTTTACCTATTGTAGCATCACCAATTGTAATAACTGTTATGAATAATATCACTTGCAACAAAAAATGAGCTACAACTAATTTAGCGGAAACTCAGGGTCAATGATGCACACATACAGTAGAACAAGACTATGCTGAACCTTTAGTTCTATAAGAAAAATCCCGCTGTAGGCAAGTTTCCGCTATAGGAATGCAAAGTGGAATTACCTAAAAATCCCACACTACACGCTCTCCTCTTTTTTTACTGTCATTTTGGCCTTGCCTAGGCACATCACTTTTGGGGTGGCTCGCGTAATGCGTCTCTCCGCATCATCTCTCTCTGCCGCCTGCCCCACCTCACTCATCACTGGACTGGCCAGTCAGAACGCCGCAACGCTGACTGTTTCTTTGGAGCCCACCTAAAGCCCCCCTTCCCCCCAGCTACAGCTCACTCAATTTCTCCTGCTGTATCCAAGTTTGTGCCTTTCCTTGCCCCGTTAAACCCAAGCACAGGAAGGTAATCAAGTTTACAAAAGGAAAAAAATGGGGGATTCTGGTAAGATCCCACTGTAGGGATGGCGGGTGCCGCTATAGTCATGTTCTACTATATTTCACTGATTACAAACGCATCAGCACAACCCAAGCCAAAAGGATATCAGGTTTAAAAAGACAAAAGTCCATTGACACAAACACTGTCTTTCGGCTGCTGTGCTCACATCACACACGAACACATGTATGCAAAACAAAAGTTGTGTACACCTTTCACATCCTACTGCTTCACCAGTCTGCTTTTGGGTGTGAAATGTATGCCGTGAGCCACCACAATAATGGTTGTAAAGCGCATAGAGCATGCTGTAGCCTATATTATGGGTACCCGCAATATAAATGCAACTATTATTATCATTCATCAGAAAGGGATTAAACACAATACTGTACAAAGAATAGAAATACAAGCATAAGAAGCAGATCACATTAAAGTACCCATCAACCAACCACACCAACATGAATTAGAATAATATCAGAGGAGGAAGGGCAGTGAAAAAAACACTTTGGAGAGAATCTAAAGGAAATATGAAGATTCATTGTGGAATTCAGTCTAACCTAAGAATAAACAAACCTTTCCCGTTTTCGTGGGTGAAACATTTTTATTTGAAAGCTGTAAAAATCTTACGTCATATTCAATGTTCACACATCTTCTGAATGCTTTGACACCCGTGCTGAAGTTTTGGCATGCCATTGCTGCACAGCCGTAAGTAAACCAGACTGGAATCTGCATTGGAGGAATGATACACAAATGTATTGGTTTGTCATAGCATAGAGACTACCAATGAACCTACTAGAAACATATGTAATGAATTCACAGGGAAACAATACGATCAAAAGTATACTGATGCAAAAAATTACCAGTACCAGTAGGATTGAACTGATTGATAAAAATGAACCAATGTCAACTTTCCTCTATATGTAACAATGATTCAGGGAATGATTCACCAATATCTTGACTTGTATCCAAGATAATGGATATTGTTTTCTTCAAAAGCAAAGAAAATGAACAAGCTTTAAGATAAAACCAATAACTTTTTAGAGCGCCTGATTCTACTGTGTCGTGACACATATGATTAGGGTTGCAAGCAGTGGTCAAATTAATTTCACACCTCTGGCTATCTAGGAAAGTTTCCATTCTGGCACACCACTTGAGCACTTTCAGAAGCAGTGCTGAGATTTTACATCCACATCACCCTGACCATCTGAATGCTCAGGGCTCATTATGTGTGAGGTAACATCTACCCCTTCCCCCTCCCTTATTCGGCGGCGTGGTGTAAAGATTATAAAGCTGGTGGATCCAAACTTGAGAGTTTTGTTTCAAATTAGGGTTAAGCGGGCCAGGCATTTTTCATTTTTGACAGGTCAAAACCCTCTGTAGGTAAGGAATTTCCCTTCCTGTTTCCAGGTTCAGCAGATGTCTGTCTTAATGTATTATTACAGCAGGATTAACTGATTGCGTCCATTCGGCTGCTGACACGGCTCTGAGTTTTTCAGCTGCCTCCATTCGACCGCTGTGAGCGGCCCAACGAAATCCGAAACAAATGTTCACTTTTTAACATAGTTCCTACTTTTTAAGTTGTTGAAATGAAGTAGAACTTGTAAACAAACCTGACCTCAATCTCTGAGCGCCAATATCGATCGAAACCCTGAAACCCTGCGAAATTCTTGCAAAAATCATTGTTTTGTTGTCGCTATGTAGGCTAGATCTAAGGGTAAATAACACGGAGCCTGGTATAATAAAAAAGCCCTTCAAAGAAAGATATTCAACTAAATTGGTGAAATTCTTGCATAAATGTGTACTAGGGTGATATCACTACAATTTTGTGTTGATTCCTATGGATTATAAGGACTTGTAGAGCTGAGAAAATGGGGTAAGTCAAAATTTTCGAAGAGGTGTTGCGCAATTGTTTCCCCTCATTCGTTTTTGTCTGAGAGAAAATTCAATACAACAGATCATAGGTCATTGTTATTGATATAAACAGATTCCTCTATTGATTCCTTTGGTATATGACAATACATATTAGAATAACTTAGAGATTTACAGTAATACATTTAATAGATGCATCCCAGGTCTAAAACTGAACAGGGAAAAATAATTCTGTCCAGAGTCTGAAAAAATCATGGATGGAATCAGCAAGAGGGGAGCAGAAAGATTCTGTTAAAGCAGGTTTGAATATCAAAATCTGTCTATTCTTTTCATTGCAAAAAAACCCAAACTAACCCAAAGTGATCTTCAAGCTCACCACATATATGCACAAGAGAAGAGTTAGCAATCAGCTCTCTTCCCATTGACAGCTACTGGGAGATACAAAAAAAAACCATTGCAAGGGTTCTGTGTGGACTTCACCTCCATTTTCATGTTACAAAGTTAAAATTAAACAATCAACACTAGAGCACCTCGTGGAGAAGACACTGCTCTGTCACTGTAGTAAAATAGGATGTTGGAAGCCAAGCAATACCAGGCTGGACTGATGCATGAAGTGTCTTCCTCAAGCATGCAATATTTTGCCCCCCCCCCCCCGGGACGAGAACTGAACCCATGACCTTTTGATCAAGAGGGTAGCAGCCTTCGGCAATTGTATGATTAAAAAAACATTGCAACACTCATACAACTATAGAGATCTCTCACCTGCAGCGAATTTACTGCCAGTGAGGTAGAAAAACATTCCATGGCCTTTTCATACTGAAAATAAATAAAGAAACCATATAATCTCAACGTGAACACTGAAACACAAACAATAATAAAGAATTTGGATAACTTTAACTAAGATAACACAACATCTGAGATGTAATGGCTAAGTTAATTCAAAAGTTATGAATTTGACTTCTATGTGTTGAAATTAATTTAATCTGCAGGGATGCTTTTGTCGGGTAAGTCCATCAACTATGTGCATCAGCAATTTTCAATTTGAATATGATTGTAAGGTCTCATGAACAGCTCTTGCAACATTTACATCTATAACACAAACAAAGTCTGCAGAAAATTGATATAACAGTGGCTTTTCCAACACTGACATCTAAATTCCATCACAGACCTTGGGCCATTACAACACTCACATCTCCCTGGTGAAAGTGGATGTAGCCCATACACCTCATAGAGCGGGCATTCCTGTGGCCTGAGATTTCCCAGGCTTTCTGATAGTGTTCTATTTCTCTGGTCACGTCTCCCAGGAAGCACAGTAAGGCTGGAGTTTCCTTGATGGCCAGACGTTCCCTGATCACAGTCTCAGCCTGCAAGAAAGACAGGACAAAAATTAAAACAAAATTGAAAGACAGTATTTTGTTCAGGCCATTAAGCATTTATCTCATGAGATAAAACAATGTTACGATACTGTTACTGGCATAGTTATGTTACATATAAATTATCTGCTCCAAATATATTGTTTATATCTCTTTTTATTATCTCTCTCTCTTTTACGCAACTGCATGAGGTCAGATGAGCGTGCGGAACACATGAAACATTTTCAGTTTGGTAGGAATTTATACCCAGTCTAATCCTCTTAACCCTAAAAACCCTATACCGCTGGTAACCGCTGACGCCATATTTTCCTATACCGCTGGTTGACTTTATTGTTTAATTCTCAGAGCTAGAAACAGGGGATTTAACTCCAGATGACTCTGTCGCGAGCAGAAGGTACCGATAATGTCACGAGAACAGTTCTACACCGAAAGTTTGGAAATCTTGCGAGTTTTTAAGAAAAAATAGTCACTTTTCGCTACCAGGCCCTTGAGGCCGCAAAATTTTTGACATTTTTTATCCTGAACCAGACCCAAATAATGATCTCCCAGTCGAATATATCGATATATATGACCGTTGAAGACGATTGTAAAGTTCCGCATAATAACATCGATGATGATTTTGACGATAGTGGAACTGGCAGGGGATCACCACTAAAGCTACCGACCAGAGGCTAGATCTACGGCTGGGTCTAATGATACTTTGACTGAAGGGGAGTCGGGGATCACACACAAGACTTAACTCATGGCGTTGGTCCTAAAAACCAGTGTTTCAACCGTTTCCCCTTTTGTCCAGACTGTGCATTCATATATGAATAACATTTTCAAACTTCAGTAAAATCAAACAACAATTAAAGACACAGTAAATAAAACAATGAACCAACCTAATTTTTTCTAGTATCTCAATTTTAATTCAGGATTCTAGGGAGGTATGACAAAAAAAGAATTCAGGGTTTTAAGGGTTAAAACCAGATGTCTCTTTTTCTTTATCTCTAATCATTTTTATTTGAAGATACAAATATTACTAACCCCCAGCAAATGAACAAACACCAGAACACAATTCCACTGACCTTTTCCATCTTCCCCATCCTCTGGTAGCAAGAAATAGCGTCTTCCCACATCTCCAGTTTCTCAAAGACATCCAGTGCCTCTCCTGTCAGACCCAGGGACAACAAAATAGTAGCCAAATCTTTCTGTAACAAACAGAAAATCAGGCTGTTTCATATTTAGGATTCAGGTATGCATTTATACATTCTAATAACTTTATGTAAAGAAAACAAAGGCACTTAAGAAAAAACACAACAACACATAATAAAAACTATGAATTTCTGAAGCCTTCTAACTGAAAATAGAATTCATTATTGTTCATTTTTCCATAATTGAATTTATTTTGCTTTTTCAAAGTGCCTTTGCATTCTTTAAACTTTGAGAGTGCTCTACACTACTGACCCCCTTTATTTCCCAAAACCATGTTCATCTCCTATCTTCCAATCAGATCAAGTTAAAAAAAAAGAGTGGTTGGCTGACTAATATGATTTCTGAAGGAATAGAGTAGCATCGATAAAATGATGAAAAAGGTTTAGAGCATTAGGTACTGTATGCATATTATTGCACTGACTAATCAAGTAAACACTGATTTTTTACCCCACAGTGCAAACCTATGTTATAATATGTGTGTGGTGGCTTGAATGTTTTTTTAACACATAGAAAGTTGGAAATTGTCAGTACTGATGTTAGAAACAAGCACTCTCCGAAGTCTTGACTTTTTTCACAAAGGACTAGGCTGACAAGATACAAAAAAGTAACAGCAATAAAAGTGTCTGGCTAATTTTGTTGATCCATTCATTGCCTTGTCTGAGACTGTCCTGGAACAAACTAGTATAGCAGGCCTGGCAGACATGAGGAATGTTCTGAATGACAGTGACAATCTTTATTCATCTTGCAAGGAGAAATTTGACATGGTCATTTACAATAGTAGTGACGTTACTATGTTCATTTACACTCAATCATATACACAGCAAGAAAGTACATAAAAATTGCTTCCTCAGAGGAAAAATTCAGAACCTATTATCCTCACTTTTGTAAGACTAATTAGGTACAGACTATGTGGTCCCAACAGCAAGTTGGTGATAGTAAGCAGAATTTCTGCACACAAGCTGGAGGATCCACTACTCTAACACTGAAACAGCCCACCAGAAAATCCGTGCTTTAATGTATGCTACCTGTCTTCTTCCCCCCCCCCCCCCCTTCATATTTACATTCACCCTTGGGCTAAGTTGTCTGCCTATGTCTGGCTGTATTTTAAACTTTTACAAAATAGAGCAGTGAAAAAGTATGTAAAAGATTATAATTAGCAGTTTGCCAGTTAAATCCAGGTAATTAAAGAAGACAAAGCCATGTTGCCATTGAATTAATTTGTCCCCCAGGTAAATAATCTCTATTAAGAAGGGTTCTGTTATTTAAAAAACTGACCTGTACTAACAACTGACTTATCATGTGTCAATATAGTGCATTGTTCAGACTTGTGTAATTCCTGCTGGATCCATAGCACCAGATGAAAACACTAACAAAAGTATGGAGAAGGAGAATTTGCTAAAACGACAACATTTTATTCTAAAAATTTCAATCTCTTTCAGTTTACCTGAACAGTCCACAGAGGAGGTACCTGACATGCATAAAAGAGAGGAATCCGTTGACTCACACCTGGGCTTGCGTCAGGCGTGGCAGCCAATTTAGCCAGCTCCTAAAAGATAAGACAAGGATAAAAGAAACAGTTCAGTTTCCATTCACAAACGAATTTTAAATGGGCACTGATAGGTAAATAAATCATACCTTTCCCATTCATAGAAACACTCTACGAAGAAGCATGATAGTTTCACAGTACCATCTATAGAACAAACTTTCCATTCAAAGAAACATAAGTAAGTTAATTACTATATAATTAATATAGTTTATACAAAGACACATTTTGGATGAATATAACCAATATGACAACATTAATGAAAATTCTACAACACATCCAAATAGCAAACTTCCAAGCACATACTGAGTTTTTATTGTATACAAACAAAGTCATGATAAATTCTACTTCTGTTACTGAATTCACAAATGGAGGCGAAAGTACTTTTGTTGCATATGAAAGACCCTTTCTAACAGCAGCAAACTGAATAATGTTTTACATAGAAACAGTAGTTACCTCCAATTGCATCATTGACCTCTCTACCCTTCTTCTGCTGTCCTGTTCCATTTTTGACCTTAAGGAGAGGGCCATGACAGCAACATTCCAGTTTGTCACATGACGCAAAATAAACTGAATAACAGAATAAAAGTATTCTTCACATCTTGAAACGTTTGATCCTTTTGAAAGGAACAGAGCACATGAAAAAAGAAATTAACAAGATTTAACATCCTAATTTAGAGCGAGTGTTGAAAAAAGACAGAGAATAATGCTTAAAAACACTCAAACCTTCCATTACAGCTTCAACTTATATAAAAGATTTGTTTCATGAAACACACTTGTGAACAAACTACAAGTTATTACCAAACTGGCCACATAAATGATAATAAAATTGAAAAGGCTCAGGGTGGTTAACATATCAGCCGCCTTATCAAACTGGCATAAATGGCTGTGAGCAGAACAGAAGTATAATTAAACTAGAGTGGTGGCTGGGAACATAGAAGCATTTTCCAACTGGAATAATGGTTGGAAAAAAAAACAGCCAAAAGAAACTCCAGTATTACTTAATATGCCATGTCCAGACATCCTAGTTCCATATTTCATAAACTACAATATATAGTTTCCCTCTATTATGATAAATTTAAAAAAACGTGTCCACACCCAAACAAAAATATTCATTTTATGTGTCACCATGTACACTGTTGTATCAATAAAAAACAACATGAGGGCAAAAATTAAAACGAAACTTACAGCAATGTAGGTAAGTATCTCTTCATTTGTCAGACGTTCTTGGGCCATGCTTCGACGATAACTTTCCCTGGGGAAATTAAAATATGTCACTGAAACTGTCATCATCATGATAGGGAGGATGGAGAATGAACACAGCCTAAATTACTCCATCAGCAAGGAGTTTAGAACTAATGGAGCCTCCTCTCTCTCTCTTCGCGGCGCCAGGAGCAGTATGCCGCGGTGGGGATCAAATATGGGGACCGACTGTGGGCTAAATCACAAACTGTGGCGTTTCTTTTTATAGAATCTTATCGAGCTGGGCCACGTTGTGGGGGTGGGCGGGGTGGGGGAATGCACGCAAGGAAGAGGGGATGGGGCTGGGATGAAAGAGGAGGGGCGGGCCTTGGGAAGGGACGAAGGAGAATGGGAAAACTTAAATAAAAGAGAGAAAGAGAGAGAGAGAGAGAGAGAGAGAGAGAGAGAGAGAGAGAGAGAGAGGAAGAGAGAGAGAGAGAGTGAGAGACAGACAGACAGACAGACAGACAGACAGACAGACAGACAAAGAGAGAGAGAGAGAGAGACAGACAGACAGACAAAGAGATCGAGAGAGAGAGAGATTGTGATCAACTGACGGGCTGACAGATAATGACAGGGAGAAAAAAACAATAAATTCTGCATGTGATACGGACTGTTCAATTCTTTAGGAGTTTTATGTTATAATCTAGTTTAAAAATCAAAAAGATGTGTAAAATAAGAAGAAAACCTGTCCGAGTAACATAAAATTATCAAACATACCAAATTATAAAGATAATCTTTCAAGATGCTAAAATATTTAATTATAAGAAATGGATAAAAATATACTTTTAAACTGAATTTAAGATATGATTGCATGATTCTAGGCGTGTGCCATAACTAACTTTATGTGTAAGGAATAGCGAACACTAAAGAGGGTCGATGCCAGCTTTATCTGATTGCTAACAGTATGTCTTGGTCTATAAATAATAATATTATTGATTACAATAATTTTGTTTCCTGGTTTTCACAAAGTGGAGCGCACAATGATTTCAAATATTTTAAAAAAAAGAAGAGATAACAGCACCTTTGGAGGTGTGATTGCGTGCCTGAGCGTGGATAACCTTTGAAGGGTTGGGGCTTTTTTTGTTCAGTAAAGTATGATAGGGAGAGTAGCGTTTTTAGCCCCTTATTACACTCCAGAGGGGGATAATTTATCTTAGTGATGTTGCTTTGTTTGGTTTATTTTTTAACAGCAGAATCTTAAGTGAACCAGAATTATTGATTGTGGGATCTTAGGTGAAGACTACAACAATAGAATTAAACCGAGTATAGTTCTATCTAACAAGACTCAAACTCTTATCCACCCTACCCTACCCTCTCCCCTCATCTGATATGGTTTGGTGTTTCTTTAACGTAGAAAATATTCATCATTATTGTAGTTGAGTATTGATTTCATATTCTAATGGAGCCTCTAGATATCTACATTTAGACAACAGTAGCATCTAATTTGCACACACAATGGAAAGCAATATCTTTAATTAAAATGTATAATATATACATACACACACATAGTAATTATATATATACACATAATAATTATATTTATGAATAAGAACACTTTTTAAAAATTGAGTATCTCGGTCTTTCTGCTGGGGTGTTGTATCCCTTTCAGCCTGGGTTGGCCTTGGCAGGTAGCGCCGGAGCCAGCCTCTTATGAATATTAATGATCTAAATTGTGTTGCTGGGGGGCATAAAAACACTTTCATTCAAATTTTTAAAAAGAAAAACAACTTAACTGTGAAAATTTCGGTCCACTGCAGCATCATATCGGTTCTTACACTTAAATACAACACAGGTGCAAGGCATTTTTACTAATTGACTTGCCTAATCTCAAGGACCTCGGAATAAAACCTTCTTTCTTGTCTAGAATTCAGTGAGTGAGTCGAGCATTCGCGCAGCGCAGGTAGACCACAGTTCCGCCGCGAGAAAGGGCTCCTATCAGGCGTGCCGTGCCACCCACAGAGCATCCTCCATTACTTTTAATCTCCTTGTCCATCAGCCAACATTCCATAGATCCGGTAGGAATCATGATTCATCACTTTTATCAGTAAAACTTATGATAATTCACACTTCTAAAAATCTTCTTCTGTAAACAAGTGCTAAAAATTCAAAAGGAAGTCTTACATGAGACCAATGATCAGCACTTGTTCAATTTGTGAAATGTGAGGTGTGTCTGTGACAGAATCATCTGTGTACTTGACCTCGTTCAACACTGTGTCGTCATCCAAAGGCAAAATCTGTATAAGATAAAAAGTAACAAAGAAATTTTTTTTAAAGTTTGGAAATCATAGGTGTTTACGTGCAAAGGATGCAAGTGAAAAATTAAGGGAGAAGTAAATCATTAGTTGAATACTACAAAAGATAAGCTTTTCATTTAATACGTCTATAAAAACATTACGATTCATATCAGAATCTCGGGGTAAAGAAAATTTTTTCAATTAGATATATACCAGTATCTTTCATGTGTAACTGGTATAAAAAGGGGGGAAAATAACATTGCAAAACAAAACAAATTCTAAATCTGGAAACTGTGATTCCATCCCAATAAGACAGGCAACAAAATCATAACCAACTGACATACAAACCCATTAAACCTACTTTGGGAGTAGCTGTAGGAAGAGAAATCTGCTCCTCATTTTGAACACTGCTTGGATCTTTTTGCACTCGCAGATACAGCTGAGCCTTGTCATCCTGCTGAAACTGTGTACGCTTACCCATGGCACCTGGAGAGGAAAATTCACACTTTCTATGATAGGTGAAAAGCAGCAACTTTAATGCGCAAAAATAATCTTGTCTTTTTGTCTGTTTAACTTGAAAAACACGGTTATGTTCAGAACAATATTTGCCGTTAGCATACAAAAATATAAAGCAAGAGCAGCAAATATAACAATTTACAAAAATGAAAGAAAACACCAGCAAGAATACACACCAAAAACCAGCCAACAAATAGAGAGTGAGAAAACTTGCCTGACAACTCAACGTGTATTCCTGCTACTTTCTTCCCTGTACTAAAATGATCAGCAGCTTTCCGGTACTCAAAATATGTGTGGCAGGCATGTCCTGCTTCCACATTGAACAAGATTTGAAGGTCTCTGAGAAAATAAAAGGAAAATTACTTTTAGTTCATAATAGTTCAAAAGTCAGGATGCCAGATTTGAAATCCCCCAAAATAATGGGTTCAATTCTTGACATGAGTCAAATGCGAGACACTCCTCCTGACTTTTATCTGTTCACCATGTGCTACAAGGCAAACCGCAGGGACGGGAAAAAAATATGATGGATATTGGTTGGGACTTAATTGGTGCAAAGACTGCACATAATATATCATTGGGGACTGATATGATAAACTAGAATGAACAAGCCAACCAAAAAAGATGGTGTGAGGATGAAAGAGCCTTTGGTTGAAAAAGATTTTATTAAGCTATCAATCTCACTCCAACCTCACTCACAAACATTCATTTGAAAGTTACTGGATTTTGAACAGTGGATTTTGAACAGAAGTAGATGCAACAACTTTTACCATAAAATCAGGTGATTCTTGTATCAAAATTTGATTGAAACAATATTTTTTAAAAAAATATCAATAAAAGCAACTAACACAGTATTTACTTACAGTCTGATCATCAATTTTTCTTCTCTTTTTAGCACCATAAAAAAAAAAATACTAACTACTTTTTTGGCTCTTCTTAAAAATTTTTCCCATAACTTTAGTTACTGTCCCTCAGACCTAGGGGGTGGGAGCATCATACAGACTCACTACACAACACCAAATGTTGGTGCAGCTCATCCCATTACAGAAAAAGCAAAAATAAATTGTCAACCTCAAATGTCCGTGTATGATATACAGTTTAGAGCACACGTCACGAACAAGCACAAGCCAACACACACATAGCAAACACTCACACCGTGAACAGATTTTTTGGTCCCAAATTTTTTCTTAGACATTTATTTCCTTGTATTTAAAAGGCTTACATAGTGAAATTCATACATAACAAAAACATTTACGTGGCGCTTCCCTTCGTTTTTTGTTATGTTTATGCTAGACTGTATATGCCTACACTGGACTATTGTCTCCGTCTTCTTTCAGTCCTTTAAAAAAAATTCTTACCATTGGACCACGTGCTCTGCCTGTTTTAATGTCTAAAAAGGTGTGCAACCCCGACAAAAGCAAAATAATATTTGCATAAAGGCCTCCTTTGAAGAGGACAGAGAGAGAGTTACAGCATTCATAAGAGGAATACAGAAAGATATAAGACCAGGTAAGTTAAGAAAAAGAAAAGTCGCCGTTACCAATATCATTACCTGAAAAGGTCATCTGTCATCAAAGGTTCTTGAAGCGATACTTGCAATAGAAGAAAGTATAACAAAGGTAAAGCAGAATAAATAAACAGTCAATATACAAACACAAACTCAACTGCTTCCAGCAAGCATTCTTTAATCCTATCCGTACGCCATAGGGTCACTTTGTACCCCCGGGGTTGTAATTTTCACATTTGAGAATACTTCTAGCACGAAGATCTCTTCGAAACTTTCAGTATTTCTCAGAAAATCATTTTGACAGACTGCTATGCAAAGCGTACGGATCGGATAACGAGTAAATTTTCTGTTTGGAAAGTGGTGGCACAAAGTTCCCAACGTTGTAAGGATATGACAGTAAAAAACATGATGTACGGATAGGGTTAAAATCACCTTAAAAAATCTACGGACCTAGGATCACCATGGGGTATTTGTTCCATCATTTCTTTTTCATTTCTCCATTCTAAAATAACATTGTTATTCTAAAAGGGGGAACTAGCATCAAGCTCTAAACTGCTTGGTTAACACCATAAAAGGACCTGAAAGCACAAAGTACTTCAAGAAGCAGCATACTTGTCCTCCTATTTTTACCCCACATAATATTTGTCAGAAAAACGAGAATGGAATAATATCAAAACACCTATCTTTTTTGCCGTCTTAAAAAATTACAAGAAGCATCATCAACATGCTTTTCATGCATTTTCTTAAGAAGTAACAACACAAACTGGAAAAATCTTGTGCAGCTTTACACATATATTTCTATAGTAAAAATCAGTATGTAAATGAATTTAATATACATTCAAGCTCAAGTATCACAACAGCTGTGTGCTATAGCAAAGCATATTACATTTGTCCATTAACTCCATCACTGTTGCCTTTAGTGTGGGGCTGCGATCTGAGAGCAAAGTTTGCTGCGTGAGCAGGCATCTCATCAACCACCAGTCCCAGGTCTGTGGGAGAAAGGGAGAAATTGGACAGTGGTACCAGAATGAGAAGAAAAATAAGAGAGATTTCAGGAAAATGTACGACAAAGCTATAATACTGTAATTCAAATTCTGGATTTGTCATATGCTCAAGAACAGAGCCGAATAAACTGACTTTTAGCAACCGAGTATGAGAACAAACCAAATGGCATAAGCAATAACTAAAGGTAATTGAAATATTGAAAATATGAAGGACCAGATTACACCTGAGCGCCTTTGAAGCACTAGACATAAGTCACAAACCCAAAATTCACGAGAACACAATTAGAAGTTTTTTTGTTAAGCAGGACAAAATAATATATAAACAATATGGGAGAAAATCATGTAAGACTAGCTTCAATGGCCCGAGAGACTAGGTAGTAAAATGAAAAAATGTTCACATGCATAATATATATCGTCGGCCTGGTGATAAAACCGACTAACCCACAAAATATCAAAAAAAATTTTTATTGGCCCTACCGATAGTAAATTGTCCATTTCATATGCTCACTCAAAGACAGATCTGAATTTTGTCTAGAAATGTCTTTAAAACATTAGAAATAAAACCGTATAACCCGGCACCCATCGGATTTTAGCCCGATAATTCCGACTATCCCACCTGCGAGGGACGGAATGAGGGTTGGCTGTTTTTATCGCGCTAACAACGAGGGGCCACTTGCTACGTTACCGACTAACCCCGGCTTCGACTCCTCTCCGGACTTCGTTTGACATCAGATTCAGACCTGTAATAGTCCAGAATTTGCTCACATAACCGTGGGAGCTCTCCAAAAAGGAATATTAAGTGTAATATTTCTGGTTGGTTTCATTGGGGAGTTATATAGATCTGGTTGTTTCCTCTTTTTTCTCCGTTTTAATGCTGCTGATAATGTTATTAAAGACTAAAACTCCACACTGTTCTCACAGAACTGTTTATCTCGTGACAATTCCGGTATTTGATATGCATCTTTATGGATTTTGTTTTATATGAAACTATGTTTTCTGTCCGCGTGTTTTTCTTTGTCTTTGTACTCGAAATTCACCGACTGTGAAAGCATTTTCCCCTATTTGGACTACTGTCTCTTCTCCTAATCATTTTTCCTTTACAATTGAATGGACGAAGTAGATAGCATTTCCTCCTTTACTAACTCACTCAAAAAAAAATAAATGGACCTGTCCCCAACGATCGTTGTTTTTTAAAGTGCTTTTTCTTCTTTTTTTTCATTTGCTGTGTTTATTGCAGTCATTACCTTCTGAAACATCGTTCGACTTTCTTTGAAAGTTCATTTCGTTTGTGTTTTGAGTAGATTATTTTCTCAGTGTCATAACCTAATGCGTTATCTTTATATCAAACCTTAGCTTACATAACGCTATAACATTCAATAAGATGATGCCACTCTTGCTGCGTCACCTATTACCCTCAGCACAGTGGAAAGCGATCAACGTGACCAGGCTAATGTCACATCAGTTGATAGAACAACAAGTATGTTACCTTTAATCTCTGCGAAAAGGACACGGCATGAAAACGTTTGGAAGGGTAACAAAAGGAAGAGGTTGAAAGAACTGGGGATGCCTCTACACATGTCAAGGCACGAAGCGAGCAGGATGTGAACTTGACGTCCTTGGCAGTTGTAAACTGGTTGGTACAAAATGCAATGACATCACTGGTCACTCTCTTGGAAAGAAAAGAGAGCCTACGTATATGCCACGATAAACATGATAGACAAAAAGAGATCTTACACAGCAAGGGAAAACCCAAGAAGAAATTACAGCCTTCAATACCACTTACAAGAGTCAATGGTCAAAGAACACCTGTTTGTAAAACAATCTTCAAGAACACCACAGGCCTGACCCACTGGTTTATTTAAAGTGTCTTCTCCGAAAAAAAACAACCAAGAGGTCCACTCACCTAGAACACATCACGCCCACCATGAGAGAGCCAAGGATGACAAGTTGTTCCGTAAAGAGGAATTTTTTGACAAACTTTCGAAGATATCCTCCTGTCTACAGATGACAGTCCAGAAAACGTCAGATCTGCATCAAGTATGCATGGAGAACTTTGTAGAGAGGGTGAAAGCCACATTGAGCTATCAAGTGCTCTGCCAAAGGTTCAAGAAAAACAATTTGGGTTCATTTTCAACCAAGAAAGACCAGTGCGACATTTGTGCAAAGTTCAAATCTGGAAACCTCACAGAAACAGAACACACAGCTCAAATATGAATATGAGGGAAGCTGCCGCTAGACCAGAGAAGGAGAAGGACAGGGAGGCTGTGTTTGTCCTTTGCATGGAGATCCAGTACATCCTTCTGGCCCCATCCCTAAAGACTTCCACCTTATATAAAACAAAACTGGCTGTACACAATATTACGACTTAGGATCTTGCCACCAGAGACGCCAGATGATATGTCTGGTATGAAATGGAAGTTGGTCTGGACTTCAACAGTTTTCCTCATGTCTGACTCACTAACTGATATTGCAAGTGACTGACTTCAACCACTTCATCATCTGCAGTGATTGGCGCAACTACTAAAACAGAACTGCCACCCTGGTGAGTGCAATGGCCTCGCTGGCCAAAGAACTTGACATCACAGTTGAGCAGAAATTCTCCCCAAGGGCCATACCCAAATGGAAGTGGATTCAGTCCATGGCACTATTGAGCGATCGCTAAAAAACGCACTTTACATCCCAATGGACTACGTGAACATCATGCTCAAAGCCAGACGCATCCCCAGGCCCTATGAAGTTATGTACCTGGACCACAGCTTTTTCAAAGATTTCGCAAAGGTCGGAGAGCAGTAAACAATCTGTCCAGGGAGAAGAGCAGGCGACCCTACTGTCACTGACTTGCAGGCATCAAAGTACACTCCAGTCTTTAAAATTCAGTACAATATGAACTTTGATGATGGATGGCAGGCGCTGCAAGGACCAAGAAAGCTGAACACCATGTGCACGACGGTTACTGCTGGACATCTCTACAAAGACAGATTGAAGATAACTGCCAACCAGTATAAACATCTGCTTGAGTTGAAGGCCGTCGTACCACGATGCTACCACAATTACCATGAAACTTTGCCTCAGTAAGAAGTTTTGAAAGCGATCAAGCCAAATTCGATTATTGTAGAGTCTTTCAAAACAAAGTTAACTTTTGTCGTATTGCCTTGTTGTAGCCATAGGACACAGAATGAGACAGACATGCTCTTCTATCGTCGAGAAAACTCAATAAAGTAGTAGTTGTCAAGCCACGCACCTTGGAGAAAGCTGGCGCATTCTTTGGTACTCACAAAGTCTTTTTGTATAATAATGAAATATTATTGTGTAACCAACTTCTCCCAAACCATTGCCGAGGTAGCAGAGCTTTTGTGTGGCTTTCTGCTTTCATTTCTTTCTTAGTATTTCATTTTTTCAGGCTTTTGAAAGGCCACCCAGTGCCAATAGTACCGTGTCAGACACGGTCATGAATTCTAAAGGCCTACTGCTGCTGCTGCTACTACTGTTGTTTTTGTTGTTGTTGTAGTTGTTGTTTTTGTAGTTGTTGCTGTAGCTGCTCTCCCTTACCCTTGCAACCTCCTGTTCTTCTACTTTAAATGTAATTAATATGCCCATTACTGTGTTCTGCTTCTTCTACTTCTATTAAAGGTTCAACTTTGTGACTGCTGTTTTTGTCCGAATTGACTCCGTAGCACTGAAATGGCAGCAGCTGATAGTATGTTGGTAGCAATAATATAGTCCTCCTCCTCTTCCTTCTTCTTCTTCTTACTCCTCCTCCTCCTTCTTTTTTCTCCTTAACCTCCTCCTTCTCACCCTCTTCCTCCTCCATCTCCTCCTCCTCCTCCTCCTTCTTCTTCTCCATCTTCTTCTACAAAAGATCTTGAGGATTGAAGCACGTGATCAAATGCGTTACCGTCAAGTGTGGCTTGGCTGCACTCAACCAAACTCAAGGCCAGCAGTGGCTTCCTGATAAAACCGGTCAACCCACAAAATTGAGGGTTGGTCGGTTTTATCAAGGAAAATTTGAGCGACATAACCGTCTAACCCACAGAGTTTCATTAAAAGCAATTTTTAAAGGAAAAAAAGGTCTACAGATTTTCGGTAAAGTGTTTTTATAAGTGTTTAAAGCATTGATTTATCGTTAGACGCCTTTGTTTTGAAATAAAACAGTTTTTTCCTTCTCCTGTAAAATTTACCTCGCTGGGGTTAGCCGGTTTTATCACAAGGCCGACGATATTATGAACAGATTAATATTCATAATTAATGTACTTAAAAACTGAATGCCTTTAAGTTTCAAAATTCAAAACGAAAAAGAGAAACTTTTGAAGCTGGATATTACAAGACGTCCGACATACTTTAGACTCTGTGAAAAAGGAATGGCACTCCAACAAGATGATTCTGGCAATGTACAAATACAGAAGGTGGCGAGACTGGGAGTAGACAGATTCACCATCAGCGCTCAACTCATTCTGCGCCTCAACATTCAGCTCCTGAAAGAACAAAGACAATGTGTTTAAGAACAGGGTGGATTCATAATTAGTGCTTGTCACAGACAGGTTGCCCACATTGTAGCTGCACAAAACGTGAATGTTTCTTATTGCGCGAAATACCGGCTGAGTGATTTTATTCCTAATTTATTCAAAAGGAAAGAATACCCTTAAAAAGGAAAAGACCTTACACCAAAATAAATAAATACAATAATTTATTTTCCACATTCACTCTGTATAACACTGATGCATAAATTTGTTTAAAAAAACACAGATATCATCCAAACAAATTTAAGTGCAGACATAAACATATGTGTATCATCGTGGTGAAATCAGGCGCTTTTCAAAATAACGAAATGAAAGAAACTGGCATTTTTTCCGCTTTATTTGGCATTTTTTATAATCTTTTTTTGGGGGCTCAATACCTTTTATTTCCATTTAAAAAAACCCATTCTGTATGGGTTTTTATAGAAAAACTTTGATTAAAGGCACAAGAAATGAAAATTTGCAGTTTCCAAGGCACTCAAGCTTTGGACGACAGTAAACTTTGGCAGCCATTTTCTATGCTAATTTTATCTCTTCCACCAGGTAACCCCCACCCCCATTAATTGCAAATATCTCGACTTCTTTTTAAGATGAAAGAAAATATTTTTCACCTAAAGCATGACAAGTGAACAAGCTTTAAGATGATACTATTAATTCTATATGCAAAAAAATTGATGAGCATCCGATTCCACTCTGTCCTGAGGCATATGTTTATAAAAACCATCCCAGTATGGCCCTTGAAAATTTAGAAAACGAAACTTTGAGCATACTTTCACTACTGGAGAGCATGTAGTCTATATGAAAATAGTACTTGTGATTTATCAACTTCCATGTTTCTTTTCATTCTGAAGTATCCCTCTCCCCTTGTCACATCTCAGGGCACTGAAATTAAAAACAATGTATTTTTGGGCCTCAATGATATCATAATAGCAAATCTCTAACTATGTTGGCCTACCTCCTGAAGAGTAATGAAAACTTACAGAAAAATTAATATATGAGCAGCATTGTAAATGCCTTGCAGGCATCTATATATATATATATTTGTGAAAGTTTGTCACTTTGGGCGCCTAAAACTTCCGAATCACTTAACTTTCGAATTTGAAAAAATTAACGGTGGTTCAGAATCATTTATAGGGTGCACAGTTATATTAAGGAGTCTGTAGTCACTGTAGCTTAATTTACAGTTTTTCATTAGTTTTGTTTAGATCTTATCTTGGGAAAGTCTGTCTTCTAAGATGCCTTTGTAAACAAGAGAGGCTTCCGTTCACAAGCAGTACGCACTGATTCCACAATGAGATGATGATCGATTCTTTTGAGTCTGTTCATCAAACGGGTACCCAGCTAGTGTATTTATAAATATTGTGTGAAAACTCTTATTTTACCTACCTTAAGCTTTGAGTGGAATTTGTTTTGCAGAAATTCAATTGGAGACTTTGTTGTTGGAGGGCCAAGCCAGTTGTTTTGGACAAACAATTGTAGACAAGATGCAGCAACAGTGAGGACTGATAAGTCTCTGGAAAAGAGTTCAGCAAACTGAAATAATCTAAAATCTAGACAGTTTCCATAAAATGATAAGATTTTACAGGACTTTGCAATAACTGGACGGAGAAAACATAAGTAACAATTTTGTAATTTATGATGACATCAGAGTACATTAGCAAATGCAAGTTGGCATTTACCTGCAGTCTGTGTTTTCAGCGCCATCCAACATCAGGGTTTCAACATTAGTTTTAATAAATTTACAAAGATCACTGATGGATGCATTTTCGGCATTCTGATGTGACAGCAGTTTTTTTGCACATTCTGAAGACTCCAAAATGTCCTCATAGTCTCCTTGCAAAAACTGCTTCACAATGGTAGGGCAGTCAGTTGTTTCTGAGGATGAGATGAGCAAGCACAACAATGTTATTATTGTTGAGGCATTTAATAAAAAAGAAAGAAGACCTTTTTTAATTGATCCTTTCACAAATGGGAAAAAAGCTGTTATAACAAGTATGCGTTTGTTTGTGTGTTGGGGGTGGGGGTGGGTGGGGGGTTTGCAACTAACTTTTCTTTGGTCAATGTTTGCATATATATGTAGTTTATGACTGCTGGGTAAACTGCCTGGCTGAAAAGTACTCTTCAATGATGACACTATACTAAGGCTCTCGGCCTATCTAAGCTTCAACAAAGCCCTCGGCCTCTGCTTCAATGGAAGGTCAGCAAAATTATCATAAGAGGAAAATCCCCTATTGACTTATTATTCAAAACACAATTCTGATTTCATTTTTTGTGTGTGTGAGTTTCAGGCCATGACATTCCATTTCCAAGTGAGTCGGATTACTTGTGATGTTTAAAGAACACTACACTGTTATATAGAGGTAAAATGAAGAAAGAGAAGGTGGGTTTTGAGTAGTAGAGTAGCGAGCGCTCTATACTGATTCATTACCCGCGAGAACAGAAGGTGCGCTCAACTGTTGATCTCCCCAAGTTCAGCACATTGAGCATTGTCAGACTGCAATTCATAGACAAGGAGTGGCTGCGAGACAGGCTAGGCCTAAAGATGGGCTAACTGCATCATTGTTTCAGGGCTGTTGCTCAATGGACCTAAATCTAGGCGTACTGATTCTTTACCAGATCGAGAAATGAGCAAACAGTTGATAGAATAAACATGTTCTCCAAATGTGCACTGTTCCTTGAAGATCAACATGCGAGGCGCTGGCGGGACTGCATTGTGACATTATGAATGAGCCAGCCAAGATAAAAGTCGCTGCTCAGCAGGATTGCTGTTTCATGACGTCACAAGCTAGCAGCATCTCGAGCAGGGAATAATGAATCTTTGCAGTGTACCGATCAACAGTATTATTTTACTCATGGATCCATCTCAAACTTAGATATATTCTAAAGCCTTTTTCTCGTTCATTTTGATTTGCTTTACACAAACTTTTCCTTTTTATCCATTGCAAATTATTAATAATGAGATTATGGATATTTTTATATGAATTATATTACAATAGGACCCATGGCACAGTAATTATATTTGACTTGGTCTTTAATAACATGGGGTGGAGGGGGTGTTCCAGGACCAAAAAAAGAATCGGGGGGTGGGTGGGTTTCCCTTGCCTTTCATCATGATTTGATGTCTTAGCAATTAGGATTTATATGTACATGAAAACTATTGACTTGCAAGGGTTTTAGTAGCCATGTGTTCTAGAGGCACTGAAGCAAAAATTAGGGCAGTTTAGCTCTCAAAACAGTGCAATAAAATTTAATCTTGTGGGCAGAATTCAACACCAGTTTTGATGTAAAGTAGCCTGTGGGCCTGTAACTGTAGGCCTTTTGCCCCCCCCCCCCACCCTCCCCAAATTAATATAGGCCTAAAATGCTTTTTAACTTTTTAAGTTTTTAGAGAAGGTGTGTATTCAAGTCTAATGAAAATGGCATTGACATTGTTGTGAGTGTACATACATTTTGAAGTCCGAGGGGGAATATAACATGAAATAAATGATAAGTAGGCCTAAGACGCTTAAGTTTAGTAAACTCCTGATTCCTGAAACCATTCTCATTTCATGCTATTCATGCTGAAAGTAGCCTCAAATATAGCATGGGTCACTTGAAATTTCTACCTCGCCTGTATTGTATTGTCTAGAGTAGGTTACTGGCAACATTTATTATCCATCAAATATCATGTTAGACTGAAGACGAAGAGCTGAGGTCCTTACACTACACTGCAAGTTAGTTGAAGCTGAGTGAGGTCAGGAGACCTACTATTCAAAGTCTATTGACTGTTGACATCAATAGTTGGCTGGATAGCATTGCCCTGTACCAGTCTACAAGCTGGGCTTAGTGTGTGAATACTATGAAATTTTATTCGCACAGGGTGTGTGAATACTGTGAAATTTTATTCGCACAGGGTGTGTGAATACTGTGTGAATACTATGAAATGTTATTTGCACAGGGTGTGTGAATACTATGAAATTATATTCGCACAGGGTGTGAGAATACTACAAAATATTATTGGCACAGGGCATTTCAAAAGAAGGATGGAAATTATTTAGATCTAGGCTAGCTCATTTTTCCCTCATTCATGTGGGGACAAAGATCATGGATAACAAGATAGTTCACTCCGCTTTTTGAGCCAAATAAAAAAGTGTCCTCAAAATTTGGTGACGCCTTCTTCGAAAAAGTGCGGACTTTGCAAACAGACCCTACTTGTGTGACAAACAATAAAAGTGAAATTAACAGTCCGTGCTTATAAATCCTATTCTTCTTCTAGAGATCTGAAGCAATCCGTTAACTTCTGTGAACACTTTTCAGGCTGAGTGAACAATCTTGTTACCTTCTTTGGTAGGGATGGATCTAATTCTAATTGTGCAATGCGATACAAAAAAAACCCAACTCAAATTGGAATTCAAAATGTGTATTGTGTCAATGATAATGACTTGAATCTCTTTTTTTCGTTTTTTTTTTTCCTTGCGCCTTGAGAGAGAGAGAGAGAGAGAGAGAGAGAGAGAGAGAGAGAGAGAGAGAGAGAGAGAGAGAGAGAGAGAGATGAGTGCATGCTTTTGCCAAAAGGTGGGATACCCGGGTGTAACAAACGAGGTCCAAAATCAACGTAGGCTCGACCCTGTGCAAATATAATTATTTCTTATTTGCACATCCGGTGTGAATAATATTAATTCTTATGCGCATACCCGGTGAGAATAAAATTAAATATTATGCGCACACCCGGTGTGAATAATCACTTCCATAAAAAAACCCACACACATAAATGCAAAACAATAACATGAATGGACCATGGCGCTAAGTGGACAATCAGGGTAGAGTTGGAACAGGCCGAGCCTTGCTTTGCAGCACTCGCCGAGTCGCAAGCAGGACCGAGGGAGTTGCAATTATGCATTTATGAGCACATCTCTCGCCCTACATTGTACTTGGCCGGACCAGGAGGGTGGGGTGGGCCTAGCAGAGTCGGGAGTATTGAATAGTGGACCATGTGATTAGATTGACCAATTTAGCGTCAAGGTATCAGGTTGTTGGTTATATAGGGCACGGTCGTGACGACTGAAAAAACCCAGTAAAAGACATCAGTCGGTAGTTGGTAGTCGAAGGGTGAGGATGTAGGAAAGTACGTAGGAGAGCTCGTAGGGGAGCTCTGAAAGGAAGAACAGCGGACCACTAGATCAAGATCTAGCTAGGCTAGACTAGTCACTAGGCACCAGGCACCCAGTCAATAGTGAAGGTATCTCCGACTGGCGGTAACTGGCAGTCCGGTAAAGTACAACGGGAAGGACTTCCTTTACGAGCGACCACCCCATCAAACACAATAAAGAAGAGGCCTAGCCTAGACCTAACCCTACCTACCCCTGCCCTACCCCAAGTAAGCCCTCAATTCTGCTCTGTCTCATAGTGGTCGCTCGTTACGGAAGTCCTCCAGTACAACGTTACCTAACTGCATACTAAATTCTTGAACCAAGAAAATATGAAGATCTTATTAGTAGGTTGACCCACTCATCATGACTGGCAGGTAATGTCAAGCGTCTAAGTTCGGTTGGGTTGTTTTGATTGTTTATTTTATTTTAGTAGAAGAATCTATTAGACAAGCTATGATGGCTCAGCCCAGCAGACTAGAAAGCCTACAGATTCCTTATAACCACAAATTTCACTCATTAAGATCAGTACAAATCATAACAATTTTATGACGGAAATAGAAACTGTCCAGTTAATAGGCAGATACTTTACCAGGGACTGGAAAACTGGACAAGAGAGTAAATTCACACTGCATCATGGAAGCCGCCATATTTGTAAAGGGTACACCACTCTTTCCAAAAACAAACCTAGGCTCGGCCTTAGGGGCTTAGCCTATGCGTTTTCTTGCCTTCTCCGATCGAAGAGTTCGTTTGCAGCAGCGAAAAATTGCTTTGTAACTGACAGCGGAACCGTCAACAAAATGGTAGGTTGGATTTAGTTCAAAATAATGGCTTTGATCTAAAGAATTACTTTCCACTTGGCTTTGAATCATTTAATGACATAAGATTTAATTCAAATGACATTATTTACGTATTAGAGGTACATCCTAGATCTAATATTTTAATGGTTACAGTAAAAAGCTCCTTGAAACTTACGACAACCTATTATCGATATAGGGTGACTTCACAGAACATGAAAAAATTAGAATCAAGGAATCTATACTCCTCTATAGATTTAGATTCTTGATCTATATCTAGACTCTAGATCTAGATTCTAGATCTCTAGATTAGATCTAGGGTACATTTTTACTTTTACACTGAAATGAAGACTAAACTGCCATAATTTTTGCTGCAGAACACAGATGATGTGGCCTCTAAAACCCTTGCAAATCAATCCGTTCATCCTAATCCTAATTGCCAAAACATCAAATCATTGTGAAATTCAGGGGGGGG